CCAGTCTGGGCGACAGAGTGAGACTCCAACTCAAAAAAAAGAAAAAGAAAAAGAAAAAAAAAGGAATAAACTATATTAAAATTGTAATACTCAATACATACTGATAACAAAAGATGAATACAAGTCATGCTTGACTTCCGCCGTTACGAGAGGTGCCCAAAGTAGTTACCATCAGTGTCCAGACACTTCCGATTACAGCGAACTGCTTGAGCAACATTGACCAAAATGCCCATTTATGTTGCTGTGCATACCATTTCAGTTTCTTCCCAAAGTACCGCCAGTGTAGCTGGTTTTCTATGGCACACCACATCCTGTAAGGTCTCCTATAGGTAGAAGTCAAGGGGTGTTAAGTCAGGAGAACATGGGGGAAATTCAACCACACTGTTCCATTCAATTTAAACTGTGCTTCATCAGACCAAACTGTTTTCCCCACAAACTCGTCATCCTCTCATACCATGTTTTGTAACCACTCACAATACTGCACCCTTCGATCAGGGTTGTCTTCATTTAGTGCATGTAATAATCTTGGGATGAAAACTTTCATTTTGCTGTTTTAAGAATGCATTGTATGCTTGTTCTGCTAACTCCTGTCTCACGTGCACATTGTTTGGTAGGCTTTTGTGACGAGCCTGTAAACTGTTCCAACACTACAATAGAAGAAGCAGGACTTGATGTGTGAGGCCTCCCAGATCTTCCCTTGTGCACATCACACGCAGTGCCATGTGTCTCAAATTTACCTTGACTGTGTGCAATTGCCAGGCGTGTTGGAGGTTCTGTTGCATACTCATGCCCCCATTGTCATTGCACTTCCACAACGTTCTCGAATTTCTTTCTTTTTTTTTTTTTTTTTGAGTTGGAGTCTCACTCTGTCGCCCAGACTGGAGTGCAGTGGCCGCTCCCGGCCACCGCAGCCTCGACCTGCTGGGCTCCGGCAATCTTTCCACCTCAGCCTTCTGAGTAGCTGGAACTACAGGCGCACGCTGCCACGCCCAGCTGATTTTTTGATTTATTGTAGAGATGAAGTCTCGCTGTCCAGGCGGGTCTCGAACCCGCGGGCTCAGGCAATCCACTCACCTCAGTCCTCCAAAGGCGCGGGATTTCAGGCTGAGCCACCGAGCCCGGCTTCGAATTTCAAATACCACTTCAAAATGGTCTTGTGCTCCTCAACCGCCAACCATGCTTCTGCTGTTTTCTTTGACTGTACTGCCTGTGATATGGTGA